AGTCCTTAACCGCAGAAGCCTCATCAGGATCCATCATTCCTCAGCCCTAAGACGCCTAAGCCCTAAACCGCCGCACCCCGAGAGACCCTTCAGTCTAGGACATTTTCAGGTGGGTAGTTACCGTTATAGGAGCCTTTTTAGAAGGTCTATAAGCCTTATAGAAGCCTTATTAAGGCCCTGTATACCCTAAACTCCCCACCTGCAGATTCCTTTAATTGAGTCCCTTATCTCCCATTGACTTGCAATCGATGGCTGTGAATGATTCGCTATAGTTGCTGATGCTTCCCATTATTGAGAGCCTCTTAGTACCCAGTAACTTGGCTGCACATGAACCTTCAAGTACCCCGAGGGCTCCGATGACCAAAGCAGCAGATACCATAGACCACCTCTCTGAAATACTATTACTATACAGTATGATGTAAGCCAGTATGTTGTTGAAAGGAGCCCTAAAGGGTCCTCAGAAAACCCTCGCAGCAGCCGTAGGGTAACACTTACAAAGCCTTGTACAGCTCCAGACAGTCTCTTCTAAGCCTCCAAACCCTATACCCCCTAATAAGCTTTGGGAGCTCTACAAAGCCCCTTGTACTAACACCCCCCCCCCCCTAAGAAACCCTCCTAAAGTACTCCTAAACCCTAAACCCTGCACCCTAAACGTCCTAAACCTTACACCCTAAAACCCCTAAAACCCCTAAAACTCCTAAAACCCCTGAAACCCCTGAAACCCCTAGACCCCTAAATTCCTAAGCCCTACTTTGGGGGAGGCGCTACGCCTTCGACCGAAGATCCCTGGAGCCTTTGTCATAGTTGGGTAACATTTTACGTTTTTAAGGGTACTTAAACCCAATAAGGAATATAAATTTAGATTTTTAATACTACCCCAACCATGAACCAGGAGCAGCAGCTCCGAAGCTTCGCCGTGCAGCAGGCGGAGTGCTCGGATCCCAAGGCCGGGTCCTGTAGGAGGCCCTTTAACAGGGCTGACGGTTGAGGGTTTAGGATTTAGGGTTTAGGGTTTGGGGTTTAGGGTTTGGGGTTTGGGGTTTAGGGTTGAGGATTCAGGGTTTGGGGTTTAGGGCGTAGGACTTTGGGTTTAGGATTTAGGGTTTAGAATTTAGGGTTTAGGATTTAGGGTTTGGGGTTTAGGGTGTAGGACTTTGGGTTTAGGATTTAGGGTTTAGAGTTTAGGATTTAGGGTTTAGGATTCAGGATTTAGGCTTTAGGGTTCAGGGTT